TAAGGAAATCTCCTTAAATTAAGTGAAACACAATAATGTCTTCCCAATCCCCAATTTCAAAGAATATCTTCAATTCCGCTCCTCTCTCACATCCGGGCCTTTAAATTAATTACTTAAAATCTGACATTAATTATCAATCTATCTATTTCTACAATAGAGAAAAAATAAGCTGTCATGAAAGAAATTTATTTTTTAAGGATGATTTTTTTTTTATTCTTCTGTTGTAGATATTGGTTTATGATTTATGTAAACCCGGGCATAAGTTAAATATTATAAATCTGCGCATAGATTTATGTATAATAACTCACTTTCTGCCCTTTCAATCGATTTTTTATTCTTCTATTTTTTTTATTCTTTTAAGAATGATTCGTATTTTTTATTTAATCAATTTAAAAATACAGGCAGCACCCCGGGCATTTGCCCGGGGCAAGCATCTAGTGGTAATTATTGTTTCAAATATCAATTCATAGTAGTAGAAAATTTAAATATAGATATAATATTAGGAACTCCTTTTCTTACTCAGATTTATCCTTTCTGGATTGATAACAAGGGTATAGGAACAAAAATTCTAAAACAAAAAATTAGATTTAGATTTCTAACTCCTGTTAAGCAAAAAGAATTAAATGTATTACAAAGTAATTCTATTTATCAGCATATAAATTTAATTCAAAGAAAACAAAATAAAATAATGTCTTTAAAGGAGGAAATTAACTATTCAAGAACAAATGATTAATTAGGACAAAAAGATATTCAGGAAAAAATAAAGAATTTAGAAACAAAATTTAAAAATGAAATATGTGCTACAAATTCCATTCACATTTCCATTTTCCCCAACAGACTTGCCAATCTCGCTTAGGATTGCAACCCAATGAATTCCCAGAATTGGCACTCAAGTTCTCAAGAGACAGGATTCGACGCCCATCTTCCGCAAGAAAATGGAGAAAATTTTCAGTTTCAGCATCAAATTTGCCATTGGATTTGACCGAAGATAACATAGAGCAAGTCCTAGCTGATGCAAGAGTTGAGGCGAGTGTCTTCTAGTTCTTCATTCCTTTTTTTTTTTTTTTTTTTTTTTCTTTCCCTTCAAATATCAAATTTAGTTTTGAGTTTTGTGTTCGTGTGGGTTTTCTGCAGTTGGCACAATTATTTGATGTTTCAGTTGGAATAACGGGTAATTTTTTTGACTCTGCAAATGGGGTTACTCCATTTTTCCTCGAATTCATGATTGATTCTGCGTGAAATTGATGATACTGATGGTCTGAGGAAATGTTCAGGAAAGGCAGAATTAGCCGACTTAGATGGACCATACGTGAAACTTCGTTTGAGTGGCAAATTTTGGCATAAAAGGTCTACTGTTGTAGCCAGGTTGGGCAATTACTTGAAACAGAGGATCCCTGTAAGTTAGTATCTGTTTTCCTAGTGCAAATTCTTTTGGGGTTTCTTCTTTTTAACTTAGCACTTTAATGAAAATTCATGAAAATGCTGGTTTTACTCTTCAGGAAATATTGGAAGTAGACATTGAAGATGAGAAGCAGTTGGATGATAGTCCCGCGAGTTTTTAACATACTTGTTCATTGAGCACCATTTTGGAGTGTAAAAATATGGAATTTGTAATGGAAGTGAATTTTGCTTGATTCTTCCTTTATTGGTGAAGTAAGTACTCTACTATAATTACATCAACCTAGAAAACATCCACAATGGAGGAACTCACAGTAACAAGATCTACTAAACTCAAGTTCACAAGGTTGAAACTCATCATTGACAAACAGAATTCATTTGCTTCTTACTTACATCTTCATCTTCCAACATCATCTAGCACTTAAACGTCGGAAATTCCGCTCTTTCAATGAAATTTTGGAGATTTTCCGATATCCAACAAAATTTGTACGATGAGAGTCTCACCAACCTTGTCTATTGGATGCATCTTCTTAGAAGAATTTTCAGACAACCAACCGTGCACACTGAGTTGATTTAAGAACATCAGTTACGCGCCAGAAACAAGTACAAGACTGTGATCAAAGCCGGCCACAGCTTGCAGTACTTCACAACCTTCAAGATAATCAACTACCATAGGTTCTGTTTCATCAGTTGAGCTGCCTAACCCGAGTCTGCCATTTCTACCGCATCCCCATGTCCACAGCTCTTTCCTGGCTGTCACGGCCATTGAATGCGCCCGCCCTCCAGATATTGATATCGGTGTCTCACCAGAAAGTGCTGCAACCACAAGTGGAATGTTATCCATACCTTCTCTACCAAGCTGAGAATTTCTGTTCCAACCCCATGAAACAAGGACCAGTGTGCCTTCACAGTTTTCTGATAAGTGATCTTCACAAATAGCAAAAGAATGTCCCATCCCTGATGCAACAGAAAGAGGGCGTAACTTTATGTCAACTGGAAGCAACCCCAAATCTAGTTTCCGTCTACCCAATTGGCCATAAGCATTGCTCCCGCAACTTAAAAGTGTCCCATCCCCTGCAATAATAGTCGGAAATTAGCTACATATTGTTGAGCACCAGATCTATAGCATTTTACGGAAGAGGCTGACTTACGACAAAGAATTAAGGAGTGATCAAGCCCACGTGTATCAACAACTTCAGTGCCTTGTAGCTCTTCAATTAAACATGGCTCCCAGATGATTGGCATATCATTTTCTTTAGCGATACTCTCTGATACTAGCTTCTCAGCAGTGTCAAGCATTGAACCCGAGTTGCCTTGAGAAGATAAAGATTTCCCTGCAGCCGCATCTAGGGCAGAAGGCTCGAAATCTCTGCCAACTTTACCTAATCTTCCATCAGCATAGTAACCCCAGCCAAACAATTTTCCACATTTAGTCAAAGCCAGCACATGTCCCCAACCTAGTGAAACCTGCAAAACCAATGTAAACGACAAACTTCTAGTGCAAGATCTACAACATATCACTCAAAAAATTCTACATCACTCATCAAATTTTTTATTCTTTTTTCCAGTTCAAGTAAGATGAGAATTCAAAATTTTTCTATTCTACCTTAAACACAATAATGAGACCACCTTAACTATTTCTTCTCCATCAAGTCCGGTAACTCGTGATGGAGAAACAGCACCGGTAACTTCTTCTCCTATACCAAGCTGTCCGCGCTTGGACTTTCCCCACACCCAAAGTGAACCATCATCGCCAATAGCAGCAGAAATGACCCCGGATGCAAATGCACTTTGAACTCTAACTTCATTCAGTCCTTCTACTCTTTTGGGCTCATTCCATGTCCCCCTACATAGAAATCAAGACATAACTGTGCATAACTGTAATCAAAACACAAAGGCAGAATTTTCCTTTCATGTCATGTTTAAATGTTATCAGTGCAAAGAATTGCTTTCGACCACAAAGTTGATGAATTTTATTTACAGGTTTCACCAAGTCTGATCTTTCCACATAAAAGATACATAAACGTCAAACAGTTTTCAGCATGAAAGGTTGTATGACATTGAAAAGAAAGATGCGAACTTTGTTCGCAAAGTGTTCAATAACGACGAAAGCTGAAAACCCTTTCAATTATTGATTAATCACTGAGAGAAAACGTAACAAACGAACAACTGAAAGTCAAGACTCATCGGAATTGATCAGAGCTTGAATTTGAAGAGTTAAAAAAGAAAATTTGATAGAAAACTGACCTTGGTGAAAGAGGGTCACGGCCCAGCTGGAATTCGTTATTCCGGCCCCAAGACCAGACATGGCCGTCGGAAGTGACGGCGAGGGAGTGGTAGTGACCGGCGGCGATGGTGGAGATATTGGGCGGAAGGTCGGAGATTGGAGTGGGCTCGTTGGCGGCGGAGCCAAGGCCAATCAGGGAGGAGGGCAATCCCAATGCGCCATGGCTTCCGTCCCCGAAGCTCATTACGGTTGTTTTATCGCCGGCTTTGCAGGTGGTGCTTAGTAGCCGGCGTTTCAGCCCGATTCCGAGGCCCGAATTGCGTTTCAGCAATCGCAGCATTTTTGTTTTGTTTAGAGGGAGAGCGAAGCGAAGTGGAAAATAAATGAGGCCTCAAAATTCAAAAGTAGTTTTAACGTGACATCCGGTAGATAGATCACTGATACAAACAATGGCGGTAGATCAGTGATACAAACAATTTTGATGCAGTCTTCTTATAGATAAAGTTCTTGATTGTCCTCCCTATTTGATTGAAAGTTTCACTACTATTCTTTTGGTATAATTAGCTACAAGGGGTCGATTTTCAGACACTAGTATGTTTAATCCAAACTACAAAGTTACCATATCGCCCTAGGACACTTTGAATAGGCTATCTTTTAATTCTTCATTGCAAGTAAGACAATACTCATTATCTTCGATTTAGGTATAAAATTTGGTTGGAATGAAAATGAGATTTGTGTTTGGTATTCACTATTCGACGTTTGCCTATTTTCATTATGAAGTCGAAGTAAACACATGCAAAATGCCGAAACAATCCTAACGAAGTAAATGATGATACGGGATATTAAGAAAAGATAACCACTCGCACAATCTTTCCAACCAAGGAGGGCAAGTTAGCATTTGAATGTATGAAATATCATTGAGCATCTCATCAACAGTGCATGTTATTTGGTAAAAAATTAAGCAGAGAATGTCTCAAGCTAAAGTTACAACAAGGGAGAAAGAGATAAAGGGCCATCAAATGTAACATTAAAATGCAAGTTCGGTTTGACTAATGTAAAACTACCCTACACTATATGGCTCATGAAATTGGGTAAAAACTGCCACTCCCTCTAAGGCTCTAACCACCAGAAAGGAAAAAACTGATGGCCATCACATTATTATTAGTCTCAACCGTAGTATGCAAAAAGGCTATGATACAAAATTAATAATTAAACACATTACCCAAAAACATTTGAAAATCAGACCCCCAAAATGCAATAACATTAACTTCATTGATTTCCCAGGATTCTTCAAGCATTAACCAATCAAGCAGCTTGAGCTAGAGGGCGATAACACAAGTCCAGTGATTTCCAGGATTCTGCAGCCGTTATAAACTCAAGCAGCCTGAGCTAGAGGTTCAGGAGCACCGGATGCTTCAAGCCTACAACAAACACAAGAAAAAATGGTGTAGCTTATAAAGAGCTGCTGTCAGAGGAACAAAGACATCATCTAGGTATCAAACATCTGATTAGGGCTACCCAAGGTATCAAACATCTGATTAGGGCTACCCACCTCGGCAGATCTTGTAACCCAATTTTTAAGGGTATCAAACATTGCAAAATACTGATTAATTAAGTGAAAGGAAGAATTTCATATCTTCCATCATAAATTTTCTTCTCATATGATGATGTATGGTACTTATAAGACAGGGTTAAGATGACTTTTCTTGTTGGCAGTAATATTCCATTTACACCAAATTATAATAAATGCAGTAATATTATCATTCACTGGCAACCTGTATACACTAGTAAAACTTTACTTCCAGACACTAAGAGAAAAATAAATGCTTCTAGAAGAAATTAATATTAGATAAAAACACTGTGGACTCTTGGTTCATCCTGGCTAACCTTTTTGCTACCAAGGTTTAACACTAGTTTCTCCATGTCTGAATTTTCGGTTCTTTAGATAATGAGGAAGGAAATAAAGCGCATATCGAGGTTTTCAAGGATTATTACAAGCGTAGCATTTTCTAAAATGAAAATGGCTGTAATCATTAGCAAAGTAAAAGGAACCAAGTAATCCAATCATTTGGCGGGTTGGTGTTTAAAACTCGACTATTATTTCCATTTTATTTATTTTTGGTTAACTCCATTGATTCAAATTTAATTACTAGACAATTGGAACATTGTTACTGATGAAACAATCACAGTTGAGTATTTAGAAAAGTTACTTCTCCTAGGGGCGATTTCAAAAAGTGGTACTCCTAAGTCCCAGAATGGTTGCCCTGCCAGAGGGAGGACAAACTACTTGTCCACTAAGGCAAAAGAGTGATCCGAGGGCTTACAGAGGAATCATTTGGACATATATTCAAATAAGAAAGACCTGAAACATCGATAACTAAGCTTTACAATATTTACCTCTGAAGACCTTCTCCAACTTCTACTCGTAAGAAACTCCCTATCCTCACAGGAGTACCAACTTCCTCAGATAGGTTATTCAACAAAGTCTGCAAGTATATGAGGAAAAGTTAAGACGTAGATCTAGAAATGAGATGACATTAAAAATTTCTTTGAGAGAACAGCAGTGAAATGAGAATGTAATGTACAATAAAAAAGTTAAGCACAATAATGCATCGTCTTCCTAAAGAAAATTTTCTAATCAAAACAACTATTATTCGTCATATGTTGTCAACAAAGGAATCTCAAAGAGTTGCAATCATGATCTACAGAACAGCGATAGCAATGATGAACATGAAAATAGAGAAGCAAGGAGGTGGAGGCCTCATGCACTCCCCAATTTACAAAGAAATTAGTGTGATGTTTAGAACAAACCATTATACCTTCACATTGAGAGCGTCATTAACAATAAATTTTTGCTCCATTAGAACTACTTCCTCGTAATACTTGCGCAGCCGTCCCTCAACCATTTTCTCTATAGCCATCTGGGACTTCCCTGTACTTTCTGCCTGCCAAAGGAAACTGAATAAAAATTTGGGAATTGTAACCTCAGAGTACAAGGCAGCAAAGCAAGAACTGGATCTACAAGAAGACAACTGAAGTTATAACTAAACTTGTAAACTTTAAACAATATAGATCTTCGACGCATAGAATTAAGACAGCTCAGAGCCAGATTACTATAATCAAATCATGACATCGAGGTACCTGCGACTTGAGAATTTCACGTTCTTTTGCTAGTGCTTCAGCAGAAACAAGGTCTTTTGTTAAGAAGACGGGCTTTGCTGCCACCACATGCATTGCTAGTTCTGATCCAACACGTTCAAGAGCATCCAATGAAGCATTCTGATTCTCTACTTCAAGTGACAAGAGTCCAGCAATTCGGCCAATACCTGCATATGATAATAAATAATAACAAAAGGCATTGTTTACCATACAGTAAAACTATTACAGACAATATGGAAAGTATTCATGTAGAAGCATCGACTACTCTTCAATCCAGAATGTGATTGAGTGCAAAGTTTACTTTACCAGGTTGTGGGCTGGTGTGAAGATAAGTAGACAATACACCATATGAAGGAGAGGACATTGCAAAACCCCTTCTGAGCTTGACATTCTCTCCCATCATTGCAGCAACTTCAGTAATTGCATTTTGAACAGTTTTTTCTCCACTTAATTTAGGATGGTCTAAGTTTAATGTCATCTCCTGCAAAGGAATTTAAACATACAGAGGCCATCTTTAAGGATCTAATATCTTAATGGAGTCGTATCACAGAATTATAAACTTATACACATGGGTATTTTCCTGACAAAGTCTAGTGGAGAATAGTTTCACAATAAGGCCTATGAGATTGTAGATATTTGCAAAAGATACACAGCATACACCACCAACAGCAACCCCCCCCCCCCTCTTCCTTCCTATTTTCTTCGTTTCTTCCTCCCACAAGAAGCAGGAGACTCCAAATGTACATCAAGAATGAGGGTTCGTGCAAATTACGTACATGACAATAGTAAATCCGAAACCAAATAATCGCACACTCCAAGGACACCAAAAATGATGTATACATTATCTCTACCATACTTCCACCGTTTCGCATTACATGCTCTTGACTTGCAACACTAAGGTAAACTTATTATTACTACATCCAAGAATATAAGGTAACACCATATACAGGATGAAATTGAGCTATAACAACTAACAAAATTGCTCACAATCAGATTGGCAACACTCAATATTGTAACAAGAAAAATGATAACGAAAATCAGTGAGACATTGGTCTTTCATCCTTTAAATTAATGTAAAAATGGAAATACACTACAACCAAAGCTAGAACTCACTAGTTGACATCTCCTTCTATTCGATTCTCCTCTTTTTCTTCTTCTTCTTTCCACTCTGCTCAGCCGAATCAATAGTCTCCTCGCCGTCAACCTCCCTACTTTTCCTCTTCTTCCCCTCATCACCCCCAAAACTCCTCCCAACTTCTTCATCCTCAGCCTTCATTTTTTTCTTCTTCTTCTTCTTATTATCGCTCAACTCCACACTACCTTCAACTACTCTGTCTATCTCCTCCTTAACTTCCACTTTGAGTTGCTTACTAATGTTATCCCCATCAGCTTCGTTGCCTTTATTCATTGAATTGCCAAATCTTTCTTCAACCTCCTTTTCTTTCCTATCCTTCTTCTTTTTCTTGTCCCTCTTCTGCAAGCCAACTCCTCCACCTTCAGCTCCATTCATGCTTCCATCTTCAAATGTTTCCGTCTTAATTTGGTCAAAACCTCCTCCATTTTGTAGGCCATTCTTCTTTCCAGTGTGCTCTGATTGATCAACTGTCTCGCCATCATTGACCTTTATATCTTCCGCCACCTCCTTGGTTCTCTTTTTCTTCTTCTTCTCCTTCTTGACATCAACTTCGACTTCAATGGGCTCTTGCTTTATCTCCTCTCCAATTGTACCAAACACTTTATCACCTCCTCTTCCAACCGATTCTTCATTTTCCCCTTTATTGCCAGATTTCTTCTTTTTCCTTTTCTGAGATTCCCCAACAACTGCTGCACTTTGCTCAATCTTCGCATCAACGCTCAGAGGTTGAGATACCTGTTCTTCTTCTTCGCGGCTGGAATGCGATGCCCCTTTCAGCTTCTTGTGAAATTGAACCAAGCCGTTGAATGCCTCGGAGGTCCGGTGTAGATAGACGGCAATGGCGGTGGAAGCTCCGTTTTCGGAGGAGGTGAATCTGGACATGTACTTGGCAGCGTTGGACAGTGAAATCGGCTTCGTCGATACCAATTTGCCGGTCACTGTCTTCATGGCTGCTGTAGCAATCAGTGGTTTGCAATAGAATTTAGGGTTTAAGCCTTAGGGCATCAGTGGTTTAAGCCATCAGCGGTGGCAACTATAAAATTCCTCTATATATTTTATTGTGTAATTAATCGTTGTATTTTGTAATTGATGTACTATATTATTAGATAATACATGTTTTGGTATACAGTAAAATCATTATTAATAATTAAATATGCCTAAAAAGGTTACAATGTGTCAATCAAATAATAAAATTGGAACTAGTGTAATATGAAAAAATTGGGAATAATAATAATATGGCTGATGATATTGCCGGCCCAGAGCATAAATTAGTCTCCAGAGCAAATTGTGTGCTTCTTTCTCGAGATTACCCCTCCCTCTCTTGGTCAGCCCTTCTCTTCTCTGTCTTCGGTACTAGGTGATGCAGTCTTGAGTTTCTACGCCACTATGTTTCATATGAGTACTCTTTCTCCGCCGATATTTACCCCATTACATATACTTGCCTACAAAATTACATCGCATCAAATTGGAATTACATTATTAAATCAATCAATTCAATCGCATATCCTCTTTGGGCTTCCATTTAGTTGTTTTTCAATCCACTCTTTTTCTTAGCAAAAATCAAAATACACATCGATGCACATCAAAACCCCAGATAATTGTAATTAAAGAATCACGAGACAAAATTGTGTATTTTCTTCTCTTTTCACCTGTACCATGGAGACACCATTGTCTAGACCACATTATTTGTCCTTTCTAACTGCCATAAATCATTTGAAAGAACCAGTATCTTACCAAGAAGCCAAGAATCAGCCTGAATGGATTCAGGCCATGCAGACTGAACCTGATGCATTAGAACAGAATCAAACATGGGAATTGACAACCTTACCACCAGGAAAAAAAGCCATTGGGAATAAGTGGGTTTATAAGATAAAGTATCACTCTGATGGAAGTGTGGATAGGTTGGTGGCTAAAGGATATAATCAAGTGGAGGGTGAGGACTATTATGACAGTTTCTCACCAGTGGCAAAGATAGTTACAGTAAGAATCTTATTGGCTTTAGCATTAGCTTCTAATTGGTCTTTGCACCAGTTGGATATCAATGATGCTTTTCTACATGGGTATTTGGACGAGGAGGTCTATATGCATCTACCTCAGTGTTATCTTAAAGGGGATTCTTCAACTGTTTGGAAGTTAAAAAGATCTCCGTATGGCCTCAAGCATGCCTCTAGGCAATGGAACACTAAGTTCACTGCCAAAATTCAGCAATATGGTTTTAAACTATCTGATCATGATCCTTGTCTCTTCATCAAGTGTCAACCATAGTTGTCTCTGGCTCTAATTGTATATGTGAATGACATCTTGGTCACTGGATCATATGAATCATAAATCCTGCAAGTGAAGTAATATCTCCATGATCTTTTCACTATCAAGGATTTGGGATATGCCAAATACTTCTTGGGTATAGAGATTGCTAGATCTTTTAAGGGAATGTATATTACATAAAGGAAATATATATTGGACATTCTCCAAGAAACAGGTCTGCTTGGATGCAAACCAACCACCACACCCTTACGTAAGGGTCACCAATTCTCAGATGCTCCTGGAAATCCTATCAGCAATCATTCTCAGTACAGGAAATTAGTTGGTCAATAGCTGTATCTTGGATTCACACGCCCTGATATTTCTTTCTCAGTTCAGTAGCTTAGCAAACATGTTCATCAGCCCTGTAAAGAGCACTGGGAAGCTATTCTACATGTACTTAAGTACGTGAAAAGAACTCTATCTCAAGGGCTGTTTTACTCTTCTGTGAATGACTTCAAGTTAGAGGCTTATTGTGATGCTTATTATGCCTCAAATCCAATTCACAGGAAGTCAGTTAGTGGTTTCTGTGTGTTTCTTGGGTCCTCTCTTGTTTCTTGGAAGGCTAAGCAGCAGACCACTGTTTCTGTTTTCTCAGCAGAAGCAGAATATAGAAGCATGAGTTATACAGTAAGGGAAACGTTGTAGATCTCTTATCTCCTTCGGGATTTTCACATACTAGTGAAGTTACCAGCCTCATTGAGTTTCAAAACGTCAGTGTGAAAAAAGGAGAATAATTTTTTTTCGAAAATCAATTTAAAGGAATAACTTTGTCAATAAACAAAATGTACATTTTATTTCTTAAAGGAATAGCTTAATTTTCAGGACATACTTCCTTAGTAGGTAGAAAACCAATTCACTTCAAAAAAAACTATAGACCTCAAATGACATACTTTCCATGGAGAAGTGCTCCTTGTTCGTCTGCCTTTCTGTCTTCAAAGTAGCTCGGTGCTTTGTTAGATGACGACACACAACAGATCAGGGACGGAGCTAGGCCCCAAACACTAGAGGGTAGGGCTGGCAATCCGTGTCGGGTTAGGGTTGCCGTGTCGGGTCGGACCCGAACCCGAATAATATATAGCCAACCCTAACCCGACCTGTATAAATAAACAGGTCACGTTTTGCAACCCTAACTTGACCTGAAAATATTCAGGTCACCCGTGACCCGACACGGCAACCCGAAATTTAAAAAAATAAAATAAAAAATTGTAAACAAAACTAAAATTTGAAACTTTCATTTTCATATCACAGATTCACAGTTTCACACTGTGATCACACAAATCTGGCAATCTAAAATTCTACTCTGAAAAATCTGAAAAATTCAAGTCCAAATCACACAAATTACAAAGTACCAGCATTCAAATTACAACGTTAAATCCAAATTACAACCTTCAAAGTTCAAAGTTATCAAGAAAGGAAGATTAAGATGACATTTGAAATTTGGCATGACCAAGTTGGTACTCAATTGGAACTTTTGGAAGTTGGTACTCAGTTGAAACTCTTGTGTCTTGAGGGAAAGCTCAGCTCCAAGAAACAGCCAGTAGTAGAGGCAGCAGCACATCCTGCAAGCAAAAAAAGTAAACCTGTGAACTCAAACCATAACATTCAGAGCAGATTTCAACAGAACATCCAGATTCAGAACATTCACAAACTTACCAAATATATTATCAAGTTGTATTAGAACTTCCCCCTTCAATCAATGGAACACCACCACCATTGTTGATATTCAAGTTCATTATGTCTCTGGTCAACTCTTCCAAGTTTAATTCATCCAATTCTGTTTAGAGGGAAAAACATATGCAATAAATATTTTAAATTTTCAAATGAGATTAACTGATTAATAAACCAAAATGCAAACAGCAAACACTTCACCTTTGTGTCCAAATAACCAATCTCGAGAGCAAATCAATGCTTCGACAATATCTGGAGTCATTGAGCTGCGATATTGATCTAGAATTCTTCCTCCAAGGCTAAAAGCGGACTAGGATGCAACGGTTGATATGGGAACACAAAGTATGTCCCTAGCAAGCCTAGCAAGATCAGGATACCGATATTGTTGGGATTTCCAAAAATCAAGTACATTGATTTTATCGGTCCTGTTATGCTTTGGGTCAGCTAAATACATCTCTAGCTGAGTTTGTTTGCCACTTGAATCAAACTCAGCACTCTCAAATTCATCAAATTCCTGTAAACAGTAAACAGTGAGTAGTTATCAGAATAAATCAGAAATAAAATAAAAAACAGATTATGACATTAGAATAGAAAAACCTATAAATATATAATGCACTTACTTACCATCATTAAAGTTGAAGTATGACTCCCTTCAGTTTCTCTTCGATGCTCATTGTTACTACCAGAAGAACAAGATGATGATGCCTACATCCAATTGTCACAGCTGGTTAGTAAGACATATAATAGGACACCTGACCCAAACTGAAATTAAACCCATCCCCCAAAAAAGAAGAAGAAAATGACCTGACCTGATTAGATGGTGAAGCTAGCAAGTACTCATCATAAAGAGCAAAGAGGGCAGCCTTAAAATCAGCCAACTGTTGCGAAGATGGGCCATAAAGCTTCCCGTAACAGAATTCTACGAATCGAAACTTGTACCGAGGATCAAACACCGCAGCAAGTGACAATAAGAGATTAAAATTAGACCAATATTTGTCAAACTTATCAACCATATTCTTAGCAATTCTTTCCAGGTATGAATCACTGCTTGAGATTGCCTCTTGCAACTTTTGCTGAATTGGAAATACCTTTGGAAGATACATATTTGCTGTGGAATAAAGAGTTCCAGAGAAGGTATTTGTAGCATCATAAACAGATTCAAGAAATCCACATATCTTTTCAACCCTTTCCCATTCATCTGAAGTAGGACAACACTTAAAATTCATATCAGCCCACTGAAGATGCTCAAAAGCCCTACGATAGTAGAGAGCACTTGAAAGCATCTTATAGGTCGAATTCCACCTAGTAGGCACGTCTTGCTTTAAACCTCTCTTAAAATCCAAAGAGGTTTGTGCAATAGACAGCTCAAACTTTTGCTTTCTAGCACTTGAACCCTCAACAAATTTGACACATTCCCTTATTTTGATCACAGACTCATCAATTTCTTTCAAGCCATCTTGAACTACCAAATTAAGTATATGGGCTGAGCATCTTACATGAAACAGTTCACCTTTATACACCAAAGCATTATTAAGCAACAATTGTTTTTTCAGAATATCAACACAAGTATCATTAGCCGATGCATTGTCCAAAGTAATTGAAAACAACTTTTTTTCAATACCCCAACTACAAACCAAAGAATAGATCTTTTCACTCAATGCTTGTCCCGTATGTGGAGGTGGCATGCAAGAAAAATTCAGTATTCTCTTTTGCAATTTCCAATTAGCATCAATAAAGTGAGCAGTTAAACTCAAATAACCATCAGTAACAATGGAAGTCCAAGCATCCGATGTCAAGGCTATTTTACTAGGACAAACAAGTAATTCAGCACGAAGTCTACCACATTCTTTGGCATACATCTTCCTAATATCAGATTTTGCAGTGTTTCGAGTAAATTCAACAACTTTTGGCTCTAGATACTTAAAAATATTCCAAATTCCTTCATACTCTACAAAAGAAAAGGGCATGTCATGTCTAATCATTGCATGAACTACTAGTTCTCTAAACTTTTCTTGAGAAAAATGTGGATTCCTAGTTCCTAAACAGGTAGCATCCTTATCAGAGACAATCAGAAACTGCCCAATATCAGTGGTAGTCATCTTCACACAACTTTTAATATGGCGAATTAAATTACCTGTGCCATTCTCACTTCTAGCCAAGTATTTCTTACCACATTTTTTACATTCACAGTGAAGCTTTTCATTTGGTTTCTGGGGCAGAATTCGAAAATGATTCCAAACTGAAGATGTTAACCTTCTTTTCTTTCGCCCTCCTTTGTTTGCAGGAGCTACTTCATCACCTTCTTGTGTGCCAGTTGTGTCAGTTCCACCATTGATTGAAACCTCAACATCATCAGCAGCATCGGTCTCACTGCCGTTAACCTCAAAACCGATATCAAATTCAGCTTCTTCGTCAATTGGTTCCATTCCTAGAAAACCAGAGACAAACAGACCAAAGATTTCAGTAAACAGTAATCAACCCAACAAAGCAAATCAACTAAAGACTAACTAAATCAACTAAAGATTAACATGCAAGGCTAAACTAAATCAGTAAATGATATTTCTATCCCTTAAAAGTTAAAAGCTTCAAACCGGGTTCACTATACCAACTACAAATCCGAGCCATAGTTAAGCTTTCTTTCTTTTCTTGAAATTTACAAATAAAACTCCAACCGATAGAAGAAAGAGGAGAACAAGAAGAAGAAGAAGGAGGAGGGTGAGACATAAGTACATAACTGAATCGGTGACCGCCGTGAAGTGATGATTGATGACCGGGGGACACCAATTTGTGAAGAACCGTAACTGGGGTAGACCGGCGGGAGAGGTTTCAAAGGCGTATAAATGGCGGAGATCGGGAAAATAGACTCTGCAAAGTGGAGGGGAATCAGAGCCGCCGTCGCCGAGAAGAAGAGGGCGGAAACCCTAAAGGGTGAAAAATTTGTGCCGAAATGAAGAATAAGAGTATATATATGAGCTGACATTAGGGTTGGGGATGGCTGCGAAATTCCCAAAGTACCCCTATAATACACATAATTTACATGTTCGCGGGTAACCCGCCGGGTTGACCCTAACCCGACCCGTATATTAAACGGGTCCAAATTTTCAACCCTAACCCGACCTATTTAATATGCATGTCGTGTTCATGTCGGGTCATTTCGTGTCGGGTTCGTGTCGAAATTCCGAGTCGTGTCAAAGATTGCCGGCCCTAGTTTAACCTCAGTCACAATGACTAATTTCTCTTTGGCTATTATTATTATTATTACTGAATTATTATTATTATTATTATTATTATTATTATTATCATTATCTGTTTTCGTGTTGTATTGTGAGACTAATCTGAATGTGACATTTAGAAATTCAATTATCTAAAGCCAAATTAAATAATAGTTTCTTAGTCCAAAAAGAAATTACAACCAAACTTATGAATTTTACTGTTATTAGCACTATTCATAGAGGGAGTAAATATATAAATTTTGAAACCAATAATTGTAAGAGAATTTGTGCAAGATTTTTAATTTCAGGTTAAAAATATGGTTCATTTTTTACTGAAATATATTTGCTTAAACAATCTCCGTAAAGTCTCATTAAATTTGAAGAAAAGAAAAAGAATAGAAGACCATATTAGTCTTTTCACTTTGTAAAAAGCAATTAGAATTTATTTATGGGATCCTTAATCTAGAATTTGTATTTTTTTTTTCTTTTGTTTTTTGGAGCGAACTTTATTAAATCTTTTTTTTTTTTTCCATATTCTCTGAATTACGCCCTCTCTTTTGGTCCGCGCCTAAATCCCCCGCCTGAGCCATACCCCGACGGCGGTGCCGCCACGCAGCGCCACCGCCTTCAATTTCTTCCACTAACGTGAGTTGGCACATCCTTCTAATTCCTCAAACTCGAACTGTTTTTTTTTTTCCCCCTTTCCCTTGATAATTTTGCTCTATAGTGGCGCCATGGCTACTGATGAAGCTGTGCAACACGATGAGGAAGTAATCGATGTGAGTTTCTGCACACCAATTTCTTTTCAGTATGGAACTCTTTTGTGCAATGTCAATATGTTTTCTGTTCTTTTTTTCCCTTTATTTTGAGTGTATAGAACTATGGGAGTTTTCTGTAGGTGTAGCATCATTATTACAACTATCTCCTATCAATTTAGTTGGGAGCTTAGTTGGGAGCTCTGTTAAGAAAATTTTGTGTGTGCGCGTGTGTGTGTGTGTTTGTTTTTTTTTTTTTTTCTATCCATATGCAAGCTCGGACAAGAATTCAACCTCGGATGATTTATTGTTAGAAATACATCTTTGATGATGACTGTTTCTTAGTTTTGGGGGATTGAATTTTGATGCGTGTGTAGTTATAATGATCATGATTTTTTGTCATCTTACCAGAATTCCTTCAAAGTGTCCCCGGAGATGGAGAAGTTTCTTTGTGACCGATTATTGGATCAAAGCCAGCCAATTTCCGAACGTTTTAGAGCCCTCTTTTCTCTTCGTAACCTCCGCGGCTCTGGACCACGCAATTCTCTCATTTCTGGTATGTTCTTTCTCCTTTAGTGATTGATCATTCAGACTAATTATATAAATATAAACACGGAAATTTTTATAGGAATTCCGGGTGTCTCGGAGCTATCCATTTTGCTTTATTTTGTTTCCCCTCTTTTGATCAATTTTGATGCATTTTTAAGTTCTTGTTGTAGGCTTGGTACTCATGAGTTTCAAGTTATCATGAGTCTGCTTGGCTCATACAGCTACCAAGAATTCATTCTGTGGATTGTAACTTATACTTGCTTTATGTCCTTTAACACTGAGGATGTAGTAATAACAGCAAAATTACTTGTCTCAGCATGTTCTTAAACATCATAATAGGTTGCATTAGTGCTAATTTTAAGAAAGTTTTGCTTTTTGGTACAGGAAGTTTTTCCTCTTTCTGAAACTTTTAAGTAAGCTATGGGATGGATGGTTATTAACTATTTTAGGAGTTCTTTTTATTAGTCATAAACTGCTAATACATGAAGGATAGCAATAGCGTCAAACTGTCTCTTGCTTCTTCATTAGTTTAGTTGTCTTTCCACATTTTTGCGGGAGTATTCATCAACTTGGTGTCCAACATTGATGCTTTTTTCCTTCCATTCAGCAACAAGAGACTCCTCAAATCTTTTGGCGCACGAGGCTGCTTTTGCTTTGGGGCAGATGCAAGACGTTGATGCAATTCCTGCGTTGGAATCAGTTCTGAATGATCTGTCTTTGCATCCTATTGTTCGCCATGAGGTAGGAAGAATTTTAAAATGTCTATATATGCAATGTTTCTTCATTTGTTTCCTCTGCTGATAGTCTTATTATCTGCTAATATCCCAAAGGCTGCAGAGGCACTTGGTGCAATTGCTTTAGAACGTAATATTCCATTGCTCAAAAAGAGTTTGGTCTCGGATCCAGCTCAAGAGGTTCGTGAAACATGTGAACTAGCTTTAAGCCGAATTGAAGACATTAAGAATGTTAAAGTTGATGTTCCATCCAGAATTGATGCATCACCATATCTATCAGTGGACCCGGCAGCCCCTGCTTCTGGTCGTTCTATCTGTGAACTCAGGTTTGTCTTTAGTTGCTATAATTTCTTGCTACTGTCCTTGTACTTCGTCATTTTAACTTGACATTTTCTGTCATTGATCGTCAAGGGGTACACTTCTAGACGAAGAAAAGAGTATGTATGAGCGTTATGCTGCTCTGTTTGCACTACGTAACAATGGCGCGGAAGAAGCTGTGAGTGCAATAATTGACTCATTGAATGCCAAGAGTGCTCTCCTGCGGCATGAGGTAGCTTCTACCTAATTTATGACCTTTTTTTTTTATTAAATAATTTGAGCTGTTGAAATTATAAACAAAAGGCATGGTTGAAACTTTCTCACACCTAAGCCCTGTATTGAGTGTGTTCATGGTGTTTTCCTAGTTTCCATCTATAGTTGTTCAGTACCTATAGGCTGTTTCACTCTTTTAACATTGTCCACCAACGTACTTCCTACCTTTTTTCTATTACTATAAAGCTTTCCTGATGGCTGTTCACAGGTTGTTGAGTTGTCCTCTTGTCCTCCATAAGTCCCTAATTCATTGTAGATCACATCTTTTGAACTTTAGTTTGAGGATTTTCAAAACGGGAACCATGATTTGAGTGTATGGAGTTACTGCCATTTATTTGAACATTACAATGAGGCTCTTGGCTTGAATTCAAAATTCTTTCGCTCTCTATTTTGACTTTGGTCATTAATATTGTTATCCTTCTCAGGTTGCTTATGTTTTGGGCCAGTTGCAAAATAAAAGGGCTTCAGATGCACTGTCTAAGACACTCAAAGATACAAAAGAACATCCAATGGTTAGACATGAAGCTGCTGAAGCTCTTGGTTCTATTGCAGGTTAGACTAGCTTCTTGTGACTTTAAGAGTAATTGTACAGCTAATGTCTAACCTGATTTATCATTTCTGCCATAAGGATAGAAAATCTGTTTATTTTCTATATGTTTACTGCCATGAAGGAAACTTTGATTTGTGATTTATTGCATTGAGATTGTATTTCGTAACTTTGGACTGCTTGTGGGACCAGGACACTATATCAATATCTTCAGATTTTTTTTCATGGCGTTTTAGATCGTGTTTTGGATGAGTTAATAAGTGGATGGATTCCTCTAAAAGTCGCCGATGACAATGCAAGGGGCGAGTCAAAATAAATTAGTTCCCTCTTGTCAAATTAGATTATTGTTCTGATGAATGTTTGTTTAAATTAGTTCTCTCTTTTAGAGTCTTCCACATGTCAAGTGTAAAAGTCCAAAAGAAAAATTAATATAGAGTCCTCTTTTCTTGCCCTTTCAGGCTGCGACGCTTCTCTGTTGCAAGTGGCAAATTATGTTGGCTTGTGAAATTTGTACTGTTAGCTAAAACCCTTTGTGTTATTAATGGACCAGATTACTTACCATGTTTCTTGTATGATCAGATATAAAGCCTATCTTCCACTTCTAAAACCTATCTTCCACTTCTATCTCTAGATATTCATGTATTATGTTCCATTTGTTTTCTTAAAAAGTTTTGTAATATAGATTCTAACAATTTCATTGCGATTTCTTTTGGTTTTAGTTCCTTATTGATGATTGAACAAATTCTAACTATTGTTTTTACTTCTCCTTTTTTTTTTTTTTTTTTTTTTGTAGATCAAGAAAGTATTATGCTTCTTGAGGAGTTCTGTAAGGATCCTGAGCCTATTGTCTCACAAAGCTGTGAAGTTGCACTGAGCATGCTTGAGTTTGAAAGATCGGGCAAATCTTTTGAGGTACACCTGAACTTTCTAATTAATGATACACAATTACACATGATGACATAGACTTCAAATGATGATTGAATAATTTAAGTGACATTCATCTGGGCATTGCTTTGATGTTTATAAAGCTCTGATTATCATGTGCTTTGTGCTAAGAACATTTTTGTATTACTATCGTCTACAGTACCTCTTCATGCAAGTCCCGCAAGCAGAGAAAGTCGCATAAAAATTTTGTTTCGTTTCCGAGGGTAATTAGAGCTGCTTCTCGGTGAAAATGGATACCATGTTTTGAATTCCGGCGTGCATGAAAGGCAAAGGGATAAAAGTAGGGCAAATTTGATCTTTACTTCTAGTCTGATCCCGTGCTCCTCCCTTTTGGTTTTATACAGAACCGCAATGGAGAAACAATGGGATGGAAAAACATGAAGACTTGAAGAACTTACGTTCGATCTTTACTTAGTTTAGTCGACCTGTTTGTAGCCCTTTCAAGCATAATGCATCTTTTGATTCTCTTTTAAGTTACCCCATCCGTTCGACTTTAATATCCACTTTGTTATATCATTTTAGTTTAGCAAAATTAACTATTTTTTCAACAAGAAAAAAAGAAAGAAAGTAGACTACATATACCGGACTGTAGTCATTTGTCATTTCTCTTATTTGATTAGATTATTCCTCCCTTGCAGAGTGGTGTGAACGCTGTATGTACGGAGTTATTGTAAACTTGGTTTTTTTTTTTTTTTTTTGCATGGGAAAACGTTATTGTTTCCTTGATGAATTTGGGAGGAATTTTCTGCTCTGGCTTAGGCAAAGCTTTTTAAGCAAATTCCCCAATTGAATAAGGGATAAAATTTTTATTCTTAAGCATAATAAATCAACATGTGTTGGGATACAAAATTCATAGCAAAATAACAAATTGGAAAAAAAAAAAATGGTCGAATGTCGAAAATGATTTCATTTTTTGACATATTTGAAATTAAATAGTGTAATTTATTTTTAATCTATATAAATGTGAAAAACTGTAAAAAGCTTATGTTGAGGATGTGTGGAAAAGATAAAAACACGTTGAAGTGAAGGTTGAACTTTAGAATGATGTACAATTTTTTTGTCCCCTCTTTATCATTTTATGGAAGGGCCATATTTAATTATTTATTGACCGACTGTGCAGGCTGGAAAACGTGATGCTTTGCCTGTACATCGTCACGTTTCATTTCATTTCCTTTTCATATTTTTCTTTCCATATATCCCTTTGTTGATTTGATAGAGAATACAGTTTATTTTTGGTAAGAGGAAACAATGGCTTAACCTTGGAAGATCAGATCATCCCTAAATTGCCTCAGATCACTTGCCAAAACAAGTTAATTTATTTAGGTAACAAAAACGTTTACTTCCATAGTTTAATGATTCTCTAAATCTCAATAATTTGTTTCCTAAAACCTTTTGATCATGTGTGCACCTTCATGCAACCAAACCCTCCATATATAAATATATACATACAACTTAAGAAGATCGGTATATTGTACAAACCACAAGGTGTTAACTATATAGCCATCTTTCTTTACTTCACTCGTTTTTATTTTTAATGGCGCAAAAAATGGAGTTCTCAACATTCATTTTGCTAGTTTTCTTCGTCATTTCGACTTTCTTCAGAAATTCCATGGCCAACGTATACGATGTTGGTGGATCAGATGAAGGTTGGGGCCCCCGTGTCCGTGAATGGGCTTCTTCTGGTAGAACCTTTGAAGTAGGCGACGTTCTCAGTAAGTTTAATTACCGTTAGGGCACGACTCAATTCCTAAAAATACACGAACACAATAATATTCAATGATCATTTTTTATTGATTAATGAAGTTTTTGAAATTGGGATTTGATGTGACCATTTTAATTAATTTGATGCAGATTTTAACTACGATTCAAGCAAAGACAGCGTGTTACAAGTAGGGAGTCTACAAGATTACGATTTGTGCTTTTCATTAAGGCCAGTGGCCACATACAAAAGTGGAAGAGACACCATCACTCTAAGCACTCCGGGAGACCTTTACTTCATCAGTGGAAACCCACAGAAATGTATTGCCGGAGAGAAAATTCACGTCAAAGTGAATGATGATGGCAATGATGGTGGTGATCGAGGTCGTTCGCCGTACCCGTTCAGCCCTTACAACCCGAGTGGATACCCGATTACCAGCAGCAGTTCTTCTTCTTTTAAGTGTTTGGCCATCTTTACCATGATTGGGATGATACTTGGTTATTCGTTTTTCTGAATCGACCGACTTACTCTCTCCCTCCGTCCTAAATTAAGAGTCATGTTTGTTGCATTACGTTACTATGATATGTTAGGGCAGAGGGAGTGATAATGAATATCTCTGAGGAGATTTAGCAAGAAGTAGGATTGACAAACTGATCATTTGCTGGCTGGCTCTAATAATTTCACTGAATTTTGTATATCTATCTTAATATTAAGATTATTTAATTTTGTTTATTGGATTTTAATAAATTTTCAATGTTTTTTCCCCGGTGATTTGATTTTAATTATACTCTTTCGCATTGTGATTTTTGGTTTATTTCCGCACAATTGCATCATCTAAGGTATCTTAAAGAAATACTTTTTCTTTCAACAAATACATCAAATTTCACCTTACATTAGAATTTAAATAAACACCTTTAGAAGGATTTTTTTTTTTTTTTTTTTTTTTTTTTGGTGAAGCCTTTGGAAGGATTGGTTTATTCGTGAAAACCAATTTCACTGTACAGAATATGAGAATGTAACCATATTATTTATGTACTTCTTATCTGATTAAACTTTCTTGGCTGTTCCAGTTACAATCTGCATTCTAAAAAAACTAAACAATTTTACATGTGAAAACTGAAAATTTGGACGGGATTCACAGCAGGGAGATAGAATAGAGTGTCAACACAGTCTAAGGAAAAAAAATCTCACATCTGACATCAATGTAAGGGTTGCAGGCATCAGCTGGCATAATCATACACAGTTATCTGTAGCTGGGAATCAAGAGCATATTGCTTTATGAAAGACCTTCTCCACCAGACTTCAAATGCTCTCTGAATATTAGGACAATCATCCCCTTTGTTCAGAAACCGATCAAACCAATTTAGCAAAATGGATTGTTGCTGTGACAATGGTAGAGTTAAAATCGTCTGGCTCAGCCCTTCCTCAATCAGTTTCTTGTCAATTGATCTTGAAGCTCTCTTCATCCACCCAAAATCTTCGTAAAGGGCTTCCAACCACGTAGTTAGCAGAGAGTATCGGGCGTCTTTTGGGACCAAAATGTGTCCTCTCCCAATGGCAATACAGAGTTGTGCTGTGATCCTGCTGATCTCATGCCTGTACATGGTAGGAATTTTCGAATGAAGGACAGCAAGTTCTTTCTGATCTGCCCATAGTTTCACAAATTCATCACCCATTTTCTTATCAATCAGGATATCAACAACCCACTGCATGTTGTCAGCTGCTCGCGCTATCTCACTCATCAAAAAACCACGATCCTGTTTATTCTCATCCACACACGAAGCTTCAGACAAGCTAAGTATGAGGGAACTAAGGCATCTATGACAAACATGATACATAGTGTCCTTTGAAATATCAAATCCATTGCTGTACCCGTGACTATCTGAACTTTCTTGTTTAAACAAACGAGATATCAGGGACTTCATTTCTCGACGAGCTTTGTCATCCTTAGCTTGTAAAACACCAGTTAGCAGTTTCAGGAAGATGTCATCAGCCCTAGGAGAGGTAGAAGTTTCTGCCACCACTCTCTGAAGCACATTAGGGAGAGGTTCACAAAGTTGAAGGTCTCCAAGTTGAGACACCACTTTTTCCTCTTCGTCCTCAGACCAGGGTACTGCTTCCAAGTACTCCAAGCATGCAAGAATGCCATCATCAAACAGAACAGCAGAACATACCTACAGAAGAGCATTTGGCTTAAATGGCAAAAAATTGTCAAGAGATGCGGAATTCAGAAAATTGAGGATGAATTTGTATGCACAGTTGTAGGCTTTCAAGTAAGATGTATCATTGATCATTTTCTAACAGAGAAGTAACGTTTTTTTTCCAGATTCATTTACTGAAAGCAGTTCATAAATATATCCATCTATGATCAAGTATGTAGCTCTCAAAGACATTTTTTTTGTCAGGACTGCATCCGGAGAGTTATGTTCAGAAGCAAAATACATTCGCTATATGAAATTGGAATTCTTTAGGCCCAGAAAATTCAAACCTAAGTTATTTACTCAATTTGACTCAAAAGCTGCAGTTTCTTCAAGAAACAAAAGAACCAAAACTTTTCACAAGCAGCATTTACAGATAATAAACCAGAAAATAATACAATCAATAATTGTCAAAAGGATTCACCAAAAGCCGAAGTTTTATGCCACTATTCAGGACAAATAAATAAAAAAGGACAAACAGTTCTATTGCAGTTACCGTTCTTACATCAAAACGTCACAGCAAACAATGGACTTTAACCATCAAAAGAGTACTATGGCTATAAATTTTCGTAGGAGATCCAAAGAGCCAAGATTCCAGGAACCCATTCACCAACCAGATATTATAATCTCACCAGCTCAACAAATTCCGACTACCCAAAAGATAAATTGGAAAAAGATAAAGAGAGTACGAAAATCAAGACATCCCACATGACATGACCTCAGATAACATCAAGAATCAAGAAAAGTGACAATAACTTAAATGAATGTAATGCCAGAATGAAATTGTTTACAAAAAATGTATACAATCCAAAGTAAATCACGGGAAGAAAAGGATTATTAACCTTCAATAATTCCAAGACCTTGGAAACCTCCTCTCCCATCAATCTCTTCTTCAAGTCCTCACAGTACATGAGCACTACAGCTTCGACATAAACCTCAACGTCATCACAATCAAGAATCTCTACCGAAACCATCTGGGACCCATTGGGCTGGAGTTTCTCCGCGAAAAACCGACTCCGGCCGGCGAGAACCCGACGGTGGACTTCCATTGAGACGCAAAACCCATCACACGACCTTACCGCCAGCTTAACATCACCGGGCCCTAAACTGTTCATAGCACTATCTTGAAATGGGGCATCCTCCAAGACCTTAAAGACTCTGTCTTGAAGCTTCAACCGGGCTTCAATTGAACGTTTGGAATCACGGGCTTGTTCCTCTGTCATCATTTCGAAAAGGGTCGGGCTTGGAGATGATCGGGGTGGGTTTGGCGAACCATTGGCGAAGGATGGCGGAGGGGAAAGAGTGGTGGCGTTCCCGGCGGCGGCGGCGGCGGTGAGTCGGGAAAGGGAAAATGGTTGGTGGTGGGCTGAAGGAGGAGATGGAGTTGGGGAGAGAAAAGGGTCAGAGAGAAAGCCCTGTTTTATCATTGAGGATACTAATTGGTTCCTTGAAGATTTTGTCTGAGCATTGGCAGCCCCGGCACCGGCGGTGGTGGCAGTAGAAGAGGCAATAGTTCTATGGGATGGCATGATTGTCAATTTGGACCAATTGGCGGGTGAAATTTTTTTGGCTTTTGACTGAGAGGGAATTTAAGATGATAGTGTTTGAGTGAGTGAGTGTGAGTGTGTGTGTGTGTGTGTGTGTGAAATGGGAATCCAAGAAAAATCAAGAAGTGGGTTCTTTGTTGTTTTGGGTTTTTGAGGGACTTTGGATCCTCAAATGCTCTCTGATTGAGTTGAAGAGAGAGAGAATGTGGAAGTGTGTGAGTGTGTGTGTTTTGTAGGGGTGGTGGGAAATGGCAGTTAGAATTAATTAAGAAAAAAGAGAAGGCAAAGAGCTATATTTAACGGCTGATTAAATAAAATAAGGCGGGAGATATTGTTTGTGTATGTATGTGGTGGTGATAGGATGCTGTCAAAGTTCCCCACTGCTGAAGGACTTAGCTCATTGGTAGATTTTTTTTTATTTTTGCATGTATACAATAACGATTGGACATCCCGGACAGGACGGGGAAGGTACCGTACAACAGTGTGTGACTGTGTGCCTGATAAATTAACTGGAAAATTTTGGTTCTGTTCAGAGCAAAAAAATTTTCGGTATATTACCCACTCAGTTCTAAAACACTCTTCTCTCTGTTGAGTGTTTGAGCCGTTTAGTTTATGACTTTATACATTTTTGCATTTGAAATACTATCTTCGTCCAAACAATAATCTACATTAAGTTTTAAATTTGTAATAAAAACAGTACAAAGTTCAAAACTCAACGTGGACTATTTTTGTGGGACGGAGCGAGTGTAAAAACTTGTTTTGAAAACGTAAAATTATTCTAATAACAGAGAACTCAATGGATCAATTCATGATCTAGATTGTTTGATTGTTGAACTGAAATAGGCATTTATATGATGGAGGGGAAGTTGTAATTTTCTCAAACACTGGTATGAAATGGAAAAGGCCTCTGATTGGGCATTATCTAAGTATGGACGACATTACAAGCACTAGTGCAGTAATGTTGTGGCGAGTTTGTTTTCACCGTCTGAAAGCGTTGTTGTGTACTTTTGTTATAGCACCAACAAACATCTTTGTCTCTGACAAATAAAAGGGCCATCACACTATTTATTGTTTAGTGAACTAAAAAAATTTACCCTCCTCGTCTCTTGCAAATATTTTTTTTTTCTCTGTTGAGTTTACAGTTAATGATCTTTTATCTCCAATAAACTTGGCCTAATGAAACTTGACCGACTTGATCATTAGTGCTGGCCTGTAGATAAATTGCAAGTGTTTGGGGTTAAAGAATTGACAATGTTGTGGTGTCAGGGTGAAAACAAAAACATGTTCACCCTGCAGGGCCCCAAGGACTACCTAGATAGATAGTTTGGCAATCAGGCACATGTATTTTGGACATCATTATTTAAAGACTCCTTTTATAGGCTCTTTTATTCCCATCTATCTTCTTTTTGTAAAGATTACCTTTTGTGTTGTTGCAGATCCCTGGACGTGAAAATGCACAAAGATTCATGATTGGAGTAGCTAATTTACAGGCTTTGCAGTAAAAATTTCACTTCTTGCTGCTTGGATTATTTGTCCATGTTAGGCACTTACCATCATCATTTCATTGTATGCCCATGTGAAGGGGTCTCTCAGAGGCTGGCAAATATGATGTTCTTGGTAATCACTAATCAGTACCATAACTTCGTCCCTCCCAATTTGACAGTCCACTTTGTTGTCGTATTTTAGTTCAAGAAATTTGGACAACTAAAATGGGACGAGTACATTTTTGGACAGCCATGTAGCTGTGAATTTTTTACCATACTCCTTCCACTGGAATTGACATTGTGCTTAACTTGTATAAACTGCAAATAGGAAGCTTGCTGTTTTGCTGCCTTGTTTAATGCAAAACATCTAACTGTACCATTGTGTTTCCCCCAACTGCAGATCGTTCGGCGCAAGATGGGATTTTGAATTTGGGTTTGATTTGTGGGGTTATTTTGGCTTAGTGATCTACTTAATAATAATTAGTAACAGATTCACAATTTACCCGCAATGAACCAAAACTGCATTACAAAGAAAAAAAAAACATGTAATACAAGAACAAAAGTTCCATTTACAAAAGAAAAAAGTGAAAAATATGGGCTTGTAAACTGTAATGTAGAAACTCTTGAAAGGTGAAAGTGAAACTGAAGGGAAACAACCGAAAAAAGAACAGGTCAAAAATGAACTTATCAATGTGGCTTTAGTCCTTTCTATCTCACCAGACGCCTTGTAATGGGTAAATCATGTCAATTCTGGCGCGGATGGAGCCCGTTTCTATCCACAAGATAATAGCAAGTTTATATTCTATAAACTTTTATATATATTTTAGAGAGTAAAATCTCTTACTCGCGATTTCAGTATCGTCGAAAGTATTTTTGCAACATGCTTTTAGTTGTTCTAGATTGCAATTTGGAATAGTCGATGCCTCAATGGTGATGTTCATGTAAGAGTAGCCGTGTTGAGCATTGACGTTTGGAACTATCATGATTTAGATTTTGGACTCCACGAGCATATTTAATTACTAGTATTATAGCATAACAACTGTTGTTGTTGACGATAATTTATCAATAATTAATTCGTCCTCTGTCCTAAAATATTGTACAATATTAGTTTGGGACAAAAAAAAAAACATGACTTTTAGTAAATTTGTAGGTAGTGTCCAATATTAAAATGTACTTATAGTGACCCCATGTCGAGTAAACGAAAAAAAGAAAAAAGAGTAGAGACAAGGGACGACGGTGATATTACTAATTAATCAAAATGTTAGGAAGCTTCAATTACTGATGTGCATTATTCTCTCGTCATTTCGTAACACCTTCGGTACAATGCTACGGTGCAAACAATAAAAATTTGGAACTCTAATCAGACTAATCAAACCTTTAATAATCTTTTTTTGTACTACCATAAGATATAGATGTTGGTTGAGTTGAAGTAAACTTACCGTAAGACGATTCTTATTGCAGATTATATTTGATGATAGTAATAGTTTAAAGTTCTTTAATTTTTTTTTTTGGATATATTTTATTACTCCTTGAGTGAAACCTGAATCGTGGCATGATATGCTTTTTACCCACATAATGTAATACTAATACTTTGATCATAGGTAAATTTTGTATCTTTCAATTGTTAACAAATAGAATTTCAAGAAAACATTGCGCGTGATTCTTTTATTAATATTTATTACACCAAAACAGTTCGATAATTATAAACTTTATTTTGAGAAGTGAGTGTAATTAATCTATCTTATGCCGTTTCCAGTGAAACATGTCAAACAAATGCTGGATTTACTTTATATTTGAAAAGAAATAATCGCTGGATAAATTTACGAAGAAGAGCATGGTCCTAACTCCAAACTGGTATCAATTTTATTTATTTATTTATTTTTTTTTTTTGGGTAAAATGGTATCATTGAATTACCTAAACTAGTCTAGCACCAAAGCTTGAGGGTAAGTAGATTGGTGAACTATAACAATTATAATAATACCCATTGCGGTGAAAAAGAAAAAAGAAAACAAAAAATGTACTGAAGGATGAAATGGTCCATGAAAATGAGATCATATAGAGTCATAGAACCATCAATTATCAGTACTCACCCCGAGTTTGATTGTCCTCATCAGTTCTTGGTCCCCCAGTTGTAAACGGGAAATGTAAAATTAATCTTTAATACAAATTTGAATTCTACTACTATAAGAAATGTAAGTGTCACGATGTTGATAAAAGAATAAAATAAAATTCCCTAGAAAATAAAAATTCAATATAAATCACCATCTACGACATGAGATCATGCGAGTGATTTCTTTTTTTTTTTTTTAAATGATCAATAAATGATTATTGTGTTTGTGAATTACTTGCTAAACTAACCTAATTTCTAAACTGAAATTTTAAACCCTTCAAAGGAGAATTACGTTTAAATTTGTCAAATCATTTTTCTTGAGTCATTTTACAACATTTATTCATTTTACACGCAAGTACATACAAAATTCGATTTCGCTCTATTAATTGTTGTGACTTGTAAGTGTAAATTATGCACGTTACTATAGTGTTACTCAAATTATTCTAGTTCGTAAGTAGATATTAAGAAGATTAAGATTCGATGAATTGAAGTTTTTGGTTAAAAGAAAAAAAAAAAACTGTCTTGAAATTGTCTAGAAGGGCAAAAAGTAATTTAAAAATGTGCGTTGAGCAAGTAAATATTATTATGAAATTGTAAAATGACTGTATTCCGTAGTATATATTTCTGGATTTATATCGCATGTATCATGTATGTCTCTATATGAGATGTCCCATCAACAGAAGATGCCAACCGAAGATCAACATTCAATTCTTTTTTACATGCAAAATATATTGCGCCAAAACACATAAACCGAAACAATGAAGGTCAATACTTTTCATCCTTGTAGTAAGCATCGCATGATATGTATCTAAATTTTTTATTTCTGTATCACAATTGTTTGTGTATCGGTTAATTATCCATACGTATCGTACGATACATACGATATACAATGAAATTATGTATCATACGATACAAAAATATAGGAAAAAAATAATTTTTCTAAATTATTGTTTCATAACGATCATCTAAATTTTAAATTAAGAGCGAATTTTTATTTACAATTTGTTTTAAATGGATACTTTTGATTTATTTCACTCACAAATATAATCTTCCTCAATAGAGGATAAATTACTTAATAAATTATTTTAGTTCAAAAAATAAAATAATTAAAAAACTCATAATATCATTTTTTAAATCATGTATAACTAGTAACATGTTGAATAAATGCAATACATGTTTACATTAATTTTCTCACTATTAAATTTATTACACAGTTTTACGATCGTTATTCATGAATGAATAATTTGTATAACATTCAAATAATCTTGGATTCAACTTAATCAATTTATTTGTTTATAACTGAAAAATAAAAAATATATAAATATATCAATTACATAAGTAGTTTATGATATTTATTATTTATTTTATACATATTATTATATTAAAATGTATCTTATAATACAATACACGATACGATACGCGTATCATAAATTTCAGTTTTCAATACACAATATGTATCACGAATTGATAACTATATGGTTTCTTGTAACAGGCTAATGTAGTCTAAAAACAAAATTTGAAATTCCAAGTATATATTCAATCATATGCAACTTGAACATTTTCAGAACAAAAATAAAGGCATTGATTCAATGAACCAAAATGGTAAGTTAAAGGACGGGCAGAGTAGGACGATATAAACTGCTGATAACATGACACATTTTTCAAGGCACAGACCATAAAACAACATGCGAAATCATT